CACTGCCTTGTAAATTTATAAGCGATATATTTAGGAAGTCATGACCCTTCAGTGCCGTGTCACGTCCGTAACGATTTAAATATAAAGTTTATACTGTATAATAAATATTAATAGAAATAATGTCAAACTTCATATACAAAGCCAAAATATGTCAGTGCTAATTATGATGGACAATTCATCTCACTTACTTGCTCTAAACAACCTTAATTATGCGTTACGGACGTGACCGTTACGGACGCTTCATATTAAATCATGCAAGTGACCAGCTCATATTTGTTCACAATGCTGTTGCTATTAAAATCACTGGCTCACATTAAATGTACCTCTGTTACTGTAGGCTATATCAGAACATTTCAGTAACAAATTCATTCTAGCAACGTAAAAAAAAAACATTTTTAATAAAGAGAACACATTACATTTTTAATAAAGAAAACAATTAAGATTTACATATCGCCATAATTAATTTAATTATCATAAATAAAATTATTACAGTATTTAATAGAGACGAATAGACTGCACAAATGTTTACTCAGCTGATCGCCTACGTCCTACTGTACCTTAAAGGACACGCCTCTCGTGCTGACACGTTCCCTTTTCCCTCATTTTCTTTCCCGCGCGCGCCCTCTGTTGACCAAGCGGAGTTATTTCTGAGGTGACTGCAGATCTTCTATTTCTGGATAAATATCTACTTTATTTGAAGTAAATGGTAAGTAATTTGATATTTACATGTATGTGCATTTTAATTTTGAGAAAAGTGTACAAGTTACAATAATAAATAAAATATCTTGAACACACTGTGGCCACGGTGGTCTGTGTACAATGAAAGAATCAGTTCAGGTTTTTTTTACATTTATTACACAATATCAATGTTAATAAAAGTAATTAATATAATACAACAACCAATAAAACGATATACAATAACCAACAAAGAAACAACAACAAAATGTATTTATACTATACAACTCTCATCCTATAGCGCAATGGCAAAAACTAATGCTGAAAGACAAAGGGAATTCAGAGAGAGAAAGAGGAATAATGAAAATTTCAAGGAAAAGGAGAAGAAAAGAAAAAAAGCAGAAAGACTAAGAAAGAAAGAAACACAATCAAATCAAGAGGCAGAGAGAGTCAGGGAGCTTGCTAGAGAAAGACAGGAAAAGGCATTTGCTGAAGAGGTCACAGGTTCCTGCTTTACTCCAGGAGTCACCACAGAATTCACCATTTAAAACAAGACAGTCTCTAGGCAAGGCACTAAAACGAGCACTCCGAGCTTTACCTAGCAGCCCTCGAAAAAAATGTACAGTTATAAAAAAGATTGCAACATCACTGTGCCTTCTTCCAGAGAAGAAGAAAATGAATCATGTGACCGCCACCACTACTACTACATATGATCATGTCAGGGAATTTTATGAGAGAGATGACATCTCTAGGCAAGCACCAGGAATGAGGGATGTGGTCACAGTCAGAGAGGGAGGAGTGAAAAAGAAAATCCAGAAACGGCATTTAACAATGTCTATTCTAGAGGCCTACCGCTACTTCAAAAATGAACATCCGCAGTCTATAATTGGAAAATCTAAATTTGCTGAGTTTAGACCATCTCATGTGCTCCGGTCTTCAGACACTCCAAGAAATGTGTGTCTTTGCCGATATCACGAAAACATTAAGTTAGCCCTGGACTGTCTGCAACATGTCATCCCAAGGCGGGCATTCCAGACCACACAGGATTTTGTTGAAGCTGTGGCCTGCAATCCAGATAGTCCCCTCTGCATGTTAGGACAGTGTGCTGAATGCAGGAATGGCAAGCTCTTGGAAATGCGTA